TTTTTTTTTTTTTTTTTTTTTTTTTTTTTTTTTTTTTTAGTGCTGTCTTTTCTGAGGATGAAAATCTGGAATTTGTGAATCTATTCTCTGGAGGAAATGGCAGGCTCAATTAACAGATGAAAAGCAAGGGTCAAATTTACAGGATTATTGTATCTTTAACAATTTTAGGAACTTTTCAAGTTTTCTCACAGGGGAAAAAAGACATTATAACCTTAGGTAGCTGTGATTGTGTTCCGAAGCTGAAGTTTTCTTAAAAGCACAGCTTTTAAATTATGATTTCCCTTGTCTTCTTTCTATCTTTGCTTTTTCTAGCTTTATTTCTTCTCTCCTGGCCTCCTTAGGGTGTTGGGCAAATGCACACTGCTCCCACCTAACTTGCTCACCCTTTGCACCCCACCCAGCGTTATCCATGCCACACCTAAAGCCCCTCACCCAGGAGAGTACCATGCATCACTGCACCGGACCATGAGGAGGAGCACTTCTTTCCCAGAACTGGGTGGAAACACATTCCTTGGAACCATTGTGCAGCCGGGGTGGAGGCAGGGCTGCCCCTGCCATTGTCTGCAGAAGACATCTTTCCTGCCAGACGCTGAGTTAGCACCACGTTTGGGCAGCAACCTCTTTGCCTACCTGGAAGCTGTACCCCCTAAAATGTAGAAAATAAGAGAGTGCATTTCAAACAGTAATAGGTGCTTTCCACGGGGTCATCACAACAGAGGTGTTGGTCTTTCCTCCCATGATTGCTCACTTAGGCACATGTTCTCAAAGAACAACATGCCTAAAATAGTTCTCTGGTCTCCACATGTGTAGTATTTAATTTATGGACTTGAGAAAATAAAACTCAATCAATCCCTATGAACCAATCACCTCACTTACATGACAGCCTATTGCCCTTCTGAGAAGGTGTCTAGAGATCTGTGATTTCAACACTGAGATTAGAAATATAAATTCAGAGTTTACTTGTGCAGTCACTGTGCCTGTAAGGGCACATTTTAATGATTCATTACTTCCATATGCCCCTCAAATTTGTGGACACACCCTAGAAAATGTCTGATTCTAGATCTCTAAAATATATAAAATGCAGTAAGAATAAAATTTTTGAGAAAATTTCAAGGACTTTTGAGCTTCTCATTTTGGATTCTCAAAGTTTGACACGAGCATTCAAATATACCAGAGTCAGGAGTGTATGAATTTGAACGGGAAAGACAGAGTTCCAGAAGAACTGGCCTAATGGGAAAGGAAATAAGAGTAGAAGGGAGTGTAGGCAGTGATAGAAACTTATGCAGAGGTCTGGTGATGTCTCTTCTGTTCTCTCCAGAAAGTGGCCAATGACCAGGATATCACAGAGGATAATGAGTAAATGCTGCTCTTACAGCGAAAAATCTAAAATCCATCCCTTTAGCTATACAAGGCAAGAAGGGTTTATGGCCCACAAATAACCTCCATTCCCATGTCTAGACCACCAGGAAGGGTTGACAGGAGCTGCAGAAATGGCTCAAACAAAGCAAAAAAGGCACAGCAGGCCACTTCTTCTGCAGGCCACTGGGCAAATGTGTCAAATTCCTCTGGCAGAGTCCCCCAACTGTCCAGAAAGGAGGTGCTGGTGGAAATGCAAACCCATGTGGGAAGGGGGCACCCAGGGAGTGTCTGAACAGGCAGAAGGAAGAGACACCTATCACAGATCAGTTCCTTGTCTCCTTTGTTTGAGAACATGACTAACTCATGACTTCACTGAATTTACATCTCTGCTTATTGTGTTGGGATCAAGTCAAGGCTGGAAGGCAGGAGAATTTCTCCATGACTAAAGCAAGCCAAAAAGCAATCCTCATGTTTCATACCTTTCAAGAAGTTGGGGGTGATCTCATTATTTGTAAAGCCTAGCCCTTCCCAAACTGCAAGCTCACCTTCCAGGAGCCAGCCCAGCCCATCGCTAACATATATAAGCTGTTGCCCGAGCACTTCCCTTTCATCTGCTTCTCTCAGCTCTGCCCTCAGCCTCTCACGCCTTGCCCAGCATTCTCAACCCCAGGAAACATGTCTAGCAAAAACACTGTGAGGTGCCAAAGCAGCAGCCGCCGTGGCTTCACTGCCAACTCAGCCAGAGTCCCCGGGCTCAGCCGCTCTGGCTTCAGCAGTGTCTCTGTGTGCCGCTCCAGGGGCAGCGGTGGCATTGGGGCGGTGTGTGGAGGAGCTGGCTTTGGCAGCAGGAGCCTCTATGGCCTGGGGGGCTCCAAGAGGATCTCCATCGGAGGGGGCAGCTGTGCCGCTGGTGGAGTCTATGGCAGCAGAGTTGGAGGTGGAGTCGGCAGTGGACTCGGTTATGGTGGTGGACTTGGTGGTGGTTTTGGGCTCGGTGGTGGAGCTGGCTTTGGTGGTGGCTATGGGGGCGCTGGCTTCCCCGTGTGCCCCCCTGGAGGCATCCAAGAGGTCACCATCAACCAGAGTCTCCTCACTCCTCTGAACTTGGAGATCGACCCCACCATCTACCGATTGAGGACTGAGGAGCGGGAGCAGATCAAGACCCTCAACAACAAGTTCGCCTCCTTCATCGACAAGGTGAGCCATGAGGCCTGGCCCTCCACGGGGCGTTTCAGGGCACCCAGAGAGACACAGCAAACCTCCACCGCGGGAGTCTAGGTCAGAGGGATGGGGCATCACGCTGCCTCTCCCAGGGCTCCAGACGGCCCCATGGTGACAAGAGCAGAAGAGATGCAAACCATTTGCAGCTGCTGAGCCCCGCCAGACCCCAGATGAGGCAGTGTGAGCAGGGGAAGGGCTAGGCCTCCCTTCTTGAGGATCTAAGAGATATAATACATGCCAGTGGTGTTTGGGCCACTGATTGCACTCTGGGGTCTGGATGAGAAGAAGAGGCCAAACAAAAAATGGAAAGAAAAAGGTTTTCTGGCTAGACTAAGGGAAAAATTAGAGCAAGTCACACAATATGTAAAAATGTTAATTTATCCCAGAAATAGAGAGTGATGAGAAAACGGGAATGCTTTCTAGGAGATGTGTGCATTAAACGAGAGGTGACATGCTAGTCCAGTCATTAGGCAACGCTGACATCCCTACAACTGAGATGTATCCCTAGTGGAAACTTGTACAATGTATCAAAAAATACTGCTTTAAAGTAGAATTGTGATTCTGCTTGGAAAGAGCAGAAGAAATGTTCAAAACCACTGATCAGGATCATAAATTAGGCGGCGAGAAGTCCTTAGTGGTCCACAATGAGATTCTCCTGGTAGATCTGTGTGGTGCAAAAGAGAAACTGCAGAGGAACAAGCTCTCGATCTGAGGCTCTGTGTATGCTCAGAACCATGCACCCGGGAGAAGCCCAGACCGCAGGGAGAGTACCAACACATCACTTCTCACTTTCTGCCTTCATCCAACCAATAACCATCTTGGGCCCCCTCCAGGTGCGGTTCCTGGAGCAACAGAACAAGGTCTTGGACACCAAGTGGGCCCTGCTCCAGGAGCAGGGCACCAAGACAGTCAGGCAGAACCTGGAGCCTTTGTTTGAGCAGTACATCAGCAACCTCAGGAGGCAGCTGGACTCCATCCAGGGAGAGAGAGGCCGCCTGGACTCAGAGCTGAGGAACATGCAGGACACTGTGGAAGACTATAAGAGCAAGTGAGTGAAGAAAGAGGGGTGGGCTGAGCTTCTCTAGCTGGCATCTGAGAGACGGGATGACAAGTCTAGATGTGCACACAATTCTGTAGGAAAATGTCCTAGCGATGGCAATCGTGAACCATCGCCAAACGGCAAAAAATGTAAGACAAGAGAGTCATGGGAGGTTGGGGCAGAGAAACAAGAAAAAATGCAGTAAAATGAAAAACCACTGTTAGTCTGTCGGTGGCAGGATCTGGATATATTCCATTTATGGAAACATGGGATGAGCGACGGCCTTTGGTTTTCATCCACACACTGGCTCCAGTGTGTTCTACCCTTTTCTTGTAGATACGAAGATGAAATCAACAAGCGCACAGCAGCAGAGAATGAATTTGTGACCTTGAAAAAGGTGAGCTGACTAAGTTGGGATTCAGGTTCTCTGCTAAACCAGAGGTATAGCTCTGTGTCCCACTCCCATCCTAAAGGACGGGGGCCGGGAAGATAGAGGTGGATGGCCTGAGCGGGAGGGCTCGGCTCACTCTACTTTGTTGCCTCTGTCCCAGGATGTGGATGCTGCTTACATGAATAAGACTGAACTGCAAGCCAAGGTAGACAGTCTTGTCGATGAGATCAACTTCCTGAGAGCCTTCTATGATGCAGTGAGTTTCCTCACCCCCTTGTCCTTCACTTTGACGGGATCGGCCAGGGCAGGAAGGCCTGGGAGTTGGGACCTCTGCCGGTGTCATGCCCAAAGAAGACCCAAGCACCTTGTGTTCTGCAGGAACTGTCTCAGATGCAAACCCACATCTCAGACACCTCTGTGGTCCTGTCCATGGACAACAACCGCAGCCTGGACCTGGACAGCATCATCGCTGAAGTCAAAGCCCAGTATGAGGACATCGCTCAGCGCAGCCGGGCTGAGGCTGAGTCCTGGTACCAGACCAAGGTGAGCAGTGAGGTGGCAGCTGCTGAGGTATCCACAGGCCCAAGCTCCACATCCCACCTCCTGATACCAAAAGGCTCTGATCCGCTGGCACAGTGGACCAACTGGAAGACGGCAGGTGCACTACCCAAGATTAGAGAATTGTACAACTTACACCAAATCTAGAAAGCAAGGAACTCAGAGAGAAAAGAAATGATACCATATAAAGATGTAATCATTCGGCTAAGGCTGTATGTACCGTGACTGTTCCTTCTCAGAATACCCTACAGAACATTGTCAGATCCCAAGAGAATTGTACAGTATGCGGTCTCCTAACCAACATGGTGTTTGGCTGGTGTTTACAATGTCCAATAACCATGTAACATCCACTTTCCCAAGAATCTCAAGGTTATTACACTCCTGCTTCAGAAGTGAGAGCCCCCCTGTGTATATGAAACCCACATAGAATTTTTGTCTCTTCGACTGACCTACAGTATGAGGAGCTGCAGGTCACAGCAGGCAGACATGGGGACGACCTGCGGAAC